AAAGAATGTCGTTTTCTAACTGTAGCGCATTTCATATCTCATTAAAAAAGTACAACTATTTTTGTGAATGCAATCATAAGAAAAAGTGACTTTTGAAATGTTATTTTACGAACAAACTATTTTTGAACTTTCTCTTTATTAGTTTTTTTTGGTTAAAAAACTGAAAAATGTTTCTCAGATGATATTGTGGTTTTCCAAAATCCCACCAAATTAAAATTTATGTCATGTCGAGAAATACGCTCTGTAGATTAAAAAGAAATTTTTTATGAAATGGAGGTTTTTTTTTTCCCCGAAACGGAAAACTCAGGATATTTTATTTTTAAATTTATCGCGTATAATTATTATCGTATAATTATTATTATCGAATAATATTATCTATCGTATAATTATTTAAAATTTTGTAAAATATTAGTATTGTTAAGTAAAAATTTGTTTCCTTAAATAAAGTATTCCTCACAAAAAATAAGATGTTTTTGAGTTTGGTTTGTACTTAACAGGTGCAAAAAAATACACCTGAGGTAAAAAATGAGGCTATGTTTTGCATCAAAAATAACCTTATCAAAAACCTCTGTTTTAACCTCATTTACAGCTCACAAAATCATCCTCATATGTAACCCATCATTAATTTTAGTTAAAAGCAGGTGAATTACTTCACACTTCAAATATATTTTTTTTGGTTGAAGTGTTAAAAAAATACTATGTTCACTTCAAAAACAACTTCTTTAAATTTCTTTCTCAAAGGTAGATTTCCATCAAATTCAAAACAGCTTCAAGTGTGAATAAAGTAGCTTCATACACCTTGATTATAAACCTTAGGAGGTTGATTTTTAAGGTTGGTTTTGAAGTCAACTTCAAATAAACCTCCTTAATTTTTCTAAGGGATGTTATCAATTACTTAATTAACAGATGCTATAACTCATCTTAAACAGGCACATGTTATTCTTAACATCGTATAAGTTTTCAGCAAATTTGCACTTCATAGTGGCTCACCGTAAAAACAAATTTTTAATAGTATCCGAACAATTGTGCTTTTCTTATTAAAGGTGGAAATAAGTTCATTTGGAAATAACCATAAGTTCGAGGTTTTTAAGGTTTAGTGTTTGAATGCATTTAAAAATATTAGCAAAGGTAAATCAATTTGAGTGATATTTTTAAAACTTATTTTGTAATACACAAATAAAACTCAAATCAACATTAACACCTCAAATATTCCTTAAATATTCCTTAATTTTTTGTAAGGGATAACTTTTAAATTCAAGTTAGTAAAAACAAAAATAAATTCTCCCATTAAAACTTTTTCTGACAAATTAATCTATCATTTATTTTATTTTTTTACATCAAGCCCAATATTCTCTTTTTTGGCCGAACGTTTAACCTTTCTAACTCCCTGATATTTAGCTAAACGTTCAATGTTTAATATTATGTTTCAACATTCAACTGATTTCTTCAGAGTGTTCTCCTGTCAGTTAGTGTTCTCTCATCTGTTCTGATATCTCATGAATATTTACTTAAATATTTTGCTGCAGGTTGCTGGTGTCTAAATTTACATTGAAGGAAAAACTTTAATTTTTAAAGAAATTATGCTGCCTGTTAAAATACTTTTAAACAGTAGATTTTCCTCCTAAAAGAAACAGGTTTCTTAATTCACATAAAGCAAGTACCATTAAGAAAACTGGGACTTTTTTATGAACTAATAGATTACATCTTTATTAAAATTCTGTTTGAATTAATTTAGATTTCAAACTGCTTTCTAAGTAATAAAAAATGAAAGTTTGATTTGGATTTTTTGGCTCTCAAGAAATGTTTTTATTCAAATATTCTCGTTTTTGGCTATGTTTTCTCAAATTTTTATGATAAAATGTTAAATAAATAAGAAGTATATATTTGCAAAAATGTATGATTGGAAAAATTTAACATTTAAAACAATGAAACATTTAAGTACTACGAGATTTGGTATGTTACTCTTCTCCTTCTTTCGGAATTATCATTATTTCCCCTTCATCAATAAGATTTAAAATTACATTTTAGAGAGATGCTTAACAGTGAATTGTATTTCTGAATTGAAAAAAAAATATAAAACGTGAAATACTTTTTATCGCTGAAGTACTGAATAATCTTTACAAATATAAAATTAACTTATCTATAAAACATGAAAGTTTTATGCATAAAAATAATCATGTTTCATTTTTGATTTAAAAAATTTTAATAGAGCAATTATATCGAGACGCTTAACTGTATATTTTATTTCTAAATTAAAAAAAAAACGTACAACGTGAAATACTTTTTATTTCTGAAATGATGAATAAAGTTAACTTATCTGTTAAATATGATAGCTTTATTCCATAAAAAATAATCATGTTTCATTTTTAATTTAAAAATTTAAATGGCTAATATAAAAAGATGCTTAACTGTGAATTTACTTCTAAATTAAAAAAAAATTAAATGGGAATTACATTTTATTGCTGAAGTACTGAATAATCTTCATAAACTTATTAACTTATATGGGAAATATAAAAGCTTTATTACATAAAATATAATCAAGATTCATTTTCAATTTTAAAAAAAATTAAAATAGAAGCTAGAAAGCGATGCTTAACTTTGGACTTTATTTCTAAATTTAAAGAAAAAACTAGCCACAATTTTACACCATGGTTTATTTATCTTGACTTATTTTTTTATGAATTCCATACTTTTTTCACTCAAAACACTCTTTTTTTTTATAAATCGATTGAACGCGTCTTGAATTTCCCTCAAACATAAACAAGAAGCGATGTTGAAATCACTTTTGATCGGAAGGATTTTAAAAATCCCTACGCTCTCAAATAATATTTTACTTCTAAAATCCATTTCCCCTTTCAGCGTCTCCTCATTTTCCCCAGTATAAATATCGATATATTGACCAAGGAGGGAAGAAGCTTTTAAAGTACTCTTTTTAGGATATTTATTTAATTGATTTGGAAGATACTCTCATGGTTTTAATACCTCCAAGAATCCTATTATACTAGACCGAGCATAATAGAAAATGGGAACTGTATTTTTATTCTCTCTTTAGTAAAGAGATATTCTCTAATTCTCTAATCCTGATCAAACATCTCCATCTCCCCTTTCTTCCCGTAAGATAATTTTATTCCATTTACCTCCTATAGCAATCTTTATAATGGGATGATCTTTAAGTGTTTTGCGTTTATTAATTGATAAAATATTCTTTAAAAAAATACAATTTTCTTCTTAATTCTGATAAATGGAAATGAAGGATCCATTGATAAAAAGTTAAATTGAATTAAGAGGATACCGTTTATTTTTTAATGATGCCTGGCACATTTAATCATCGAAAAAATAAATATTTGAACTTTGAAATGTGTAGTATTATTTGAAAGGTATCACACTTTAAAATTAAGGGTATGTTTATTTTATTGGCCTTAATTTAAGTTTTCAATTATTAATTATTTTTCGCTTTTTAATTGATAAAATTTTATAAAAAATATTAACATTTTCTACTTAATTCTGATAATTTAAAATGAAGGATCTTTTGAAAAATAATTAAATTGCATTAAGAGGATGCAATTTATTTCTTAAAGAAGCCTTAAAAAGAAGTATTCTAGTGTGCAAAGTATAAAACTAATTGAAAATTGTCTTACTTTAAAATTAAGAATACTGTGATTTTATTTACCTTAATTTGACTTTTTAGTTAAATTTATTTTTATATGAAAATATTAAAATTTGCTTACCTTACCATTGTACCGTTAGTAAGAATTTTTTTTTATCAAGCATTTACTACAAATAGTTAAAAAATGTTTACATGAAATTTAAAAAAAAAATTGATTTTTTAAAAGTTTTTTAATAGATCTCAAGACTGATTCATTTTTTTACGCTTATGATTTTGCATTTTTTTATTTTTATTTGATAATTATTTTATTCATATTCGCGTTATTAAATTCTAATGAAAGTCAAGTTTATTTTATTCCAATCGACGATTTGATCGTTTTACATGGGCTGATTTGAAGCAATCTACCTCATTTTAAAATGTGTGATGATCTAAATAAATTTTGATAATAATATGATATGAAAAAATAATATGAGTTATTAAAATATAATGGCTTTTAGAAATTGGCCTCTATTTTTAAGAATAGAATAAGTTCATTTAAAGCTAAAACTCGTTTATTTATATATATATATATAAATTTAATAATCATTATTGCATTTTTATGGATAAAATCAAATTATTATATTAAAAATATCACTGATATTGGATAACCATCTCGAATATTTGTAAATTCAGTCAAACATTTAACTTTAAAAACTTCTGACTTATGCTGACTTATGCCGCACTTATCTCACAATTGCTCTAACACTATCAGAAAATCAGTTTAACGTTGCGCTATTAAATAACGAGTTTTTTTTCTTTTACAATTAAAAAGATAAATTAAAACTTTAATAGATCAAGTAAGGTAAAAGCAACAATATTCTGCCGGAATGAAAAATATAACTATCTGGAAAATCGGAGAAGCTGGGATATGTGTCCCGCCATGTTTTTTAGATGGGACACATATGTCCCATTAGTGTCCGGGACATACATGTCCCGGTGGGCTCAAAAGAATAAGATGAACTATAGTATCGGATAGGCAAGTGATAGACAACTTGGTTCAGCTTAGCTCCATATTAAGAGGGAACAACAGTAGCTTTAAAAATATTGTTGTTCAGAGTGTTTCATAAATTCAAAAGATGTGCTACAAAAATGCACGATGAAAGTCTTATAAATCGATAACACTATTTTAGAATGTAATTTTACATATAAATGTTAATAATTCAGTAAAAAAAATTATTTTTCTAATGCTAAATCTGGTGATTTACCATTGCGATACCCACATATATATTTAATTATTATATAAATGTTTCGTTGTTTCAACTAAGGTAAAAAAGGATAATAATAATTTGACTACTTTCATAACGGTTACAGAGAATGATATCAAAAACAATGATGAAATTTTCTCTTTTTGCAGATAGACCGGAATGCAGCATCAGGAAGGATTACAACGACCAACGACAAATAGTTCTCATTTGTCATTCCGTAGCCTACCCCGCTGTGACGAACTTCAGTTGGTTCAAGGACAATGTATCACTAAATGGCATGAGAGACGCAATGCATAGGAACGGCAGGCATGAAAGTACCCTGGTTCTCAGCAATGAAGACCACAACGAGAATCTAGCTAGGTACTCCTGCGTGAGCACCAACTCCATGGGCCCATCTGATCCTTGTAAGCTTCAACTTACATCTCTACCTGGTGAGTGCAGCTCAAAACTTCTTCTCATTATGACTTCACAAAGCAAGCTTGCTATAAAAGTTAGTTTTCGTTTTGCTGTGTACCTTAAGAGAGAAATTCAACCACACAAATCAAAAATTTTATAGCAATTTACCACAAAAGTATGGAACGTATTTGACATCCCTTCTTCTTATGTCCCCTCCTCTTCCTCTTAGGTATAGTCGAATATACCCTGATGTTTACTTTTAGTTTAAAAGATACAGGTCATGTCAAAACGGCTACCCCTTCACCCTTTATTGAACAGTTAAACTGCATGATCTTTAAATCTGGCTGCAATTTCCCATTTTTCACGAGGATTTCTCCCCATTTTCACCACACGAATCAGAAATTGTATAGTTCTTTAGTACTACAGTGTGGAACTTATTTTGAACCTTTCTTTATCCAATTTTGGTATCGTCGAATCTACCTGAGTATTGACTTTTAGTTTTGAGACGCAGCTCTTCTTGAACGAATACCTCTCGACACTTCATTGATCATTTGTTCTGCACTATCTTCAATTTTAGTAATAACTCCCCATTTTCAAGAGGCCTAACTTCAGGCTCATGACGTTACATGGCGAACAAACGTCGTGACGTCACTTCCAAATCTTCTAGCCTTCTTTCTGGCAAGCATTGCTGGGCGAAGATAACTTTGAATCAGGCCGGAATTCAGACACGTAATGATTATGATTGGTTCTTTCTGTCACGTGGTTATTTTTCGCTCATGCTTGCAAGGGGGAATTCTCAATATCAAATATGGTGAAAAATTGACAAGCCTTTTTGCATGCTTGTTACATCATAAGACTGCTTTCAGACACATTTTTTCAATTCTCGTGTAAATAGGATGTTAAGGTCTACCCAACTTGTGAAAAGTGCAGAGGTTATCTGGATCCTCTCGAGGGTATCCTTGATAGTTCAGGTATGCATTGGGAGATTTTTACTCACATCCTGTTTCGGTGCCTGATTTTATGAAGGCATATGGATTCACGAACCAAACCTACCTGGCTCTAGATCCTTATAAATTGGTAGCAGTAACAGTCAGCATTCTAGTATTGGTTAACATACATTATGAATTATTAAAAATATTCTCCAAGCACTTTGTGCGTTTGGTTTAGAATTATTTGTTATTTAATTTATAGTGATTCCAGAAATCATTTGGAGTTTTATCCCTATGTTTATAAATGGGTGAGAAAGTGGATACATAGAAATTTGCACTTAATAAGGATTTTTTTTTAGATGTATTACCATATAGCATCCGTCCGAAAATAAGTTCAGGTATATTTCAGGTATATTTAGCTTCAAGTACGAAATGGGAAATTTTTAGCAAGTAGAAAATTAATTAAAATACTTACAAAATATTCTTATAACTATAAAATAATAACAATCAGCAACACCAGATTCAGAAAAAGTATTGAATACTGAAATAATGCATAAATTACTAAGTATTTTGATAATTCCTGCATTCATAATTTTCCTTTTTTTGAGGCAATTAAATCAATAATATATTTGGTTTCAATTATAATTGTTATAGCCATGCAAGATTAATATCGAATTAATTATATTTACCTCAATAATTGAAATGGCTTGCTAGTTTTGGTGCAGCATAATTTGCACTTAATTTACAACATCTTGAGAGAGTATTTTTTGCCATCAGATTAGAGTTGATCCGATCATTAACATCTTAATGTCTTTCTAATTCTTAGATAGCTTAACACTTCGGTTATAGTTAATCAGGGGGTGACATCGCCTAATAATTTAATAAACAAGCAGGTAATTATGTAAAATTTTTCCAATTAACTCCTATTGCTAATAAGTATGGTGAAAGAAATATATGCTTCATATAATTGAACTAAAATCATTTAGTATGCAATATTCAAAATAAATTATATCCAATATAGTGTTTTTATTTAGTTTTTTGATGCATTACTTACCGATAATTATCAGAAAACATAATTACTAATTATTTTCTGGGACTTAGACTATCACTCTGAACAAATTTTCACTTCGAAAAATATTAATAAGATAGTACAAACAGTTAATTTATTGTAGATATCAAAACTCCTTCAAGAAAAATCTCCAAACATAGAGATAATAATTATCTCATTAACAATTATGTTGTTTTTTTCTTTGTTGTATGCTATCTTTATCGACTCGTTTTCCTCTGGTCGCCAAGGATCCGATTTAATTGGAAAGATCCGTCCGTCGGAATTACAGAGGGTGAATTATGCTCAATCGCGACTCATCAGGAATCGATCATTCCATTAGATCAACACAATAAATCCGAAGTCTTATTCACATAAAAGGAAAAGGGAATAAAGCGAAAGAGAGAAGATTTATTGCTTTACTTCAGCTGAGGTAAAGCTAGAAGGGGTGCATCTAGCGAAATCAAATTAATGGAAGCTGTTGTTGTCCCGGCATGATATACTGACCAGAGAAGACAAATATCTTATATTCTTAGTGCTTTTTTTTTCTTCCTTTTGAAATAAATTGCCTAATTTGTTACAGTTTTTGTGCATGCTTCATATAATGGTGAAATTTAGTGGAAAAATTATTTGAATATTGTATCCATGCTGGGTCGTTTTGAAAGGTCGTTCATTCATTTTAATTACTATAACAAATGGTAATCAAAGCAACTTCTTTTTAAAAAAGTTCGAATATTTTTTTATCAGTAATCTAATCTGTTATCTAAGCATTAAAAAGCAATGGCATCTAAAATAGGTACTCCTATAACGTTTAGATCAACCAAAATGTAAAAAGTCCGTATATTGACTTTCAATTCTGGTAAAATTATCGAAGTGCATGACATTTCTGGTTAATAAAAACATAATTCTGGTTAATAAAAGCAAAATATACGGTATTTAAATCATTCATTTAGTAGTTTTTCTGTTAGTTACGATTATTGTTTACAAGAAATTATATGTTCTTCAATACTATAGTTTTTATTACCACACATTTAGTAAAAGATACAAAACTGAAAAACTGAATGTATGGTTTTTAGGCCATGCTCTCATGTATCATGATAAAATTATTAAATTTTATCACATATTACAAAACTTACAGATATTTTTGGCATTTCCGAAGAGCCAGAAAAGTGATGTATGTTTTAATATTTTAGTAGTTTTGGAGATACTTTTTTCTCAGTGCAAAATTCCGTTCTTTTTTCGGATGCTAATTCTGTTCGTTTGGAACTTAAAAAAACAGGACGATGTTTTATTTAAGAAATACAATAGAAATCTTTATATTTTACTAATAAATGTTATATAAATAATAATAGAAATTTATAAAAAAAACTGAGAGTTGTACATTTTTAATTTACTTATTTTTTAATAACGAACATTTATTAAAAAATTAAAACCCGGATTAAAATTAAACACCAGAATTTAAAACTAGGACATCACAACAAAATGCAAATGCAAATTTCATTGATAGCAAAAAATTAAATTTATTTTAAATGTTTTTTTATTAATTTAATTAAACTAGTGGACAGTGCCTCCTGCTCACTGCACTGCTCGCAAACGCCATTTTTTGCGTTTAATGAATAACTTTTCTTTTTCAAAAACGAAATTTCCCACAATCTAAAGGCTCTAATAAAATCGGTATCATACAATAAGATCTATGTGTTATACCCACTATGATAAAATTCCCTTATATTTTATGTAAGCGAAGAACAAATTTTTTATACATCATCACATGAATTAAATACCTCTGTATTTCGACAAAAATCAGGTATTAAATATGGAATCAGCTAGAAATTTCTCTAGTTTTCTTTTAGACTCTTGGTAGATTCTAATTCAATTCGTTGATTATCTGATTTGATGATAGAAAGCAAATTCTGAGCCGATATGGACAAATAGTTCTTAACACGGAATTATACAGCATCAGAAATAATTCTAGCCCTTACGATTAGCCAGTTATAATCTTTTTACGTCATTCATGCAATTTAAATTGGCACCTAAATCTCAACCACAATTTAAAAATTTTAGATACCTATTGACTTAACATTATTTAACGTGTTTCAAATGCGTGCGCAAATATAAATAATATAAGTAAAATTTGCACTGTTTTTGGTTTCACAGCTTTTTAAATACTTATTCATTAACACCATCCTCGTATGTCATAAAAAAATGATTTTGCTTCAGCTGCTGATGCAGATTTCACCTGAGCTTGCTTAACTTAAAGTACCAAAGAGAAATATTTATTAAACACGTGTTATGAACTCTCACTGAAACTCATTTTCAAAAAAGTAAAAAAAGATAAAAAGTACCAGTACTTTTTATCGTAATTTGATTCGAAATTTTTCACAATGTGGACAATAAATCTGGTAGGAATCGGCTCAGAATTGTTGATGTGTCCAAAAAAAGTGTTTCAGACGCCTAAATAGTTATTGATTTAAAAGGAAATCATTTGTTCTTCATTTTTCAATTTAAACCTGCCACCTTTAATTAAGAAAAAGGTATTTAAGCTAATTATATTTATTTTGATCATTATCTGAGAAAGTATGCTTACAGTTGATTTTAGGAAAATAATTGGAGTTTTCATAGACTTCTCTGGCTACTTTCAAATAATGAACCCAAAACAAAACTCATTATATTCTGAATTCCACATTAGAACAGCGAGCATATTTTCGTCACCAGCAATGCATCGGACAAACTTCGATGGTAAGAGTATAAATATCGAGCGGCGCAAATAGCTCGCACAATCCTTTACAAATCAATTTGTTGCGTGGTACATTCCGATTTCACATTTGAATTTCGAAAACGAACTGTACCCTTTACTTACCATTTCGAAATATATCTTCTCCTCTTAGAGTACCCCCCTGGGAATTACGCTCATTATCTGCCGTATTTACCCGTTTACTAATAGCCCAGTCAAGATGGCACTAGTAACGATGCCAAGGTGCCAAGACAGCCAAGCTCTCATTACGCAGAAAATCGCTTATTTTGAACTTAGCACTACGTGGGGCGGAGGGTTCAGCATTACCATGTCCCAAGATGCAATTCCATCACCATAATTAAGCAGAACCTTCTGGGATTCACGGAATCGCCATTAAGTCCAAAGACCCTCAAGGATGGAAGGAGTGGTTTGTTGAATTCAGGAGAAGGACTTAAGTATTCTTAGAAGGATATGTCCTTTTGTTAGTTGTCAGGTGACATTTGGTGAGTCGAAAAGCCTTATAGTTTGCCACTTGAGGACGGGTTTGTTTAAACAATAATGGATCGGCGATTCATTATAACTGGAGATATTTCATGGGAAAAGGTCAACACCAGAAGTAATTCTTTATCTATATTTCCCTTCTAATAGTTTCTAGATTGGAACTAGAAGAAAATGGTATTAAATCGTCTGATGTTCCAGGATTTGTGGCTCACCAGTCTGGTAAGCTGAAAATTTGCTACATCTATATGATTGGTTGTAACTCACAACGCTAGACGATTTATAATAAATTTAAATTTGAGGAATGCTTTGTTTAAAGAAAATTTAAACGATCTGCGATATATAACTGAAACTATTTTATTGTTAGGCATAGCTAAAAACATTTCATTGATCTGCGTAACTTTTCAATGATTTTGTTGATTAACTTTTTAATGATTTGTTGGTCTTGTACATCAAGACTTGTGGTTTGACGAAAACTTTCTATGCGCACATGATTGGCAGTAATATATAATATTTTATTATTTAAAAAGCTTAATTTTAAAATTGAGACGGCTAATACTAGTTACTTATCAGTTATTTTAAAATTTTACAGAATTAGAATTGCTTTGAAGGGAAATGGTGATATCCATTGGTCCATGACAATTTAATATTAAATTAATGAATTGCAATTTCATTGTTATGTCAATAGCTTTTCTATTCCTCTCTGCAAATCGAATCAAACTTACATGAAATGTAAACTGTGGTAAAACATGCAAGTGATTGCTAATTGCGAAGTGATTGCGAAGTAAACGAGGACATTTTCCCTATCAACCGCTTGCTTCAAGAATATAAGCTATAGTAAAGATGCGTTGAAATCAGTTTTTTTGTTTTCTGTCTGCGGTAAACGTTTAATATGACTCGTGAAAAGCGTTTAGTGTTATATCAATAATTAACTACTTTCGTGTGAGGCCGCATAGTTGGTATACCAAAGAATGCAATTTTGTATCGGTAAATTGTCAGCATCTACGATGTGCAATGCCGCAACCGTGATGCGTGTTAGAAAGAATTGTACACAGAAGAAACAAATAAGGTGAAAACGTGGTAGTGGGGTACGCAAATAGCAAGGAATGACAGGCAATCTGACTGACCGTGCAGGTCATTCTCGTGTGTTTAGCACAACGTTGAATCACGGGCACATATGTTTTGCTGTCTAGCTCCACGATTCTTTTCCGTCTGCTGTAGAAATCAAGGTTTACAAGGGTTTCTCTAAGCATGATTCCTCTGTCCTTCCTAAGCATGATTCCTCCAACACAGGACCCTCCGACTTCAATTGACTCAGCAACATAATGAATGGCGTGTCTTGTTGCAACAAGTTGTTTTATCCGACGAATCTTGCTGTAATATGCAAAACAGAGGACGCTACAGATATTAGAGAGTGGAAAATCTGCTCCAGTAGTATTAGTCTGTTCCCTCAGGATCTTATTCAGAGCCATACTGAAGAAAAGGCATAGCATCAAAGAATGTGAGAGGTTCCACTTTCACTGTGACAGGAGGGAAATTGTGGAGCCAGAGATACTCTTTGTTCTTCTATGCATTCTGAGAATTGCAATTCAGCATGATACTGACCGTGTTCATATCTCTAGGTCTACGCAAGCCTTCTTTGACGTGCATCAGGTTTCGCATCTTCCATGGCCTGCTCATTGGGTTGGGTATGTCGCCTATTGAACTAGTCTGTGATTTCACCTGTCGGAAACTCGCGTGTACAGCTGGTAGGGCACACAGTAAGACTGAACTTCGAAGTCAGGTCGAAGCCATATGGAATGTCATTCACCAGGATTACATTCTGAACCTATATGTCCAATGCTACCAGGTGTATAGAATCTAATTGCTCTAATCTAATATATAATCTAATATATATTTTTACTTACAGCTCATAAGCTGCAGGTACATAGCGAAACCCATTAAATAAGTAAAATATTCGATGAAAACAAGGAAAATGTATAATTATTTTTAAAAAGAGGAGATAAACAATTATTAATAAATAAAATGTTTTTAATGTCGATTTGAAAAAAAATAAATATAAAAATCCAGAAAAACAAAATAAGGAAAAGATATCTCGTCATCAGGTGAAACGATGATTATATCCGCGAAAAAGTGTGGTTTATAAGCAAATTAAAATATATCAATACAATTGTATGAGAATTCAATTGTATTGATGCATTTTGCTTCGCAATGCTATTAATACTATATCAGAAAGCACTATTTTTTTATATAATCGATTGAGCTGAGGACAAGATTATGTCTTTTCCTTGTTCCGTTTTTCCAGCTTTTCATTAATTTTTTTTTTTAATTTTTGATTATTTTTCAAAGCCATTTTATTTGTTGAGAATTTTCCTCCTCTCTTTAAAAATGTATTTTCTCCTTGTTTTATTTGTATTTTTAATCAATTTTGGGACGCATTGATTTTCTTAAAGGACCTGTAAAATGTATTTTTATAGAAAATTTTGTAAAGAATTCCATAAACAGTTTTTCAATAAGACTGTGTCTATATCATCGGCGAGATTTTCCTAAACGAGTCATTTCTTGTATCACTTAGACTGCGTGCTTCAACACAAGATAAGATCCCATTTTCTCAATATCTCTATGCAAATTTCGTGTCATTTTTTCACTCCTATCAAATACGAGTCAATAAAGGTCCCTAGGCGTTCCTGGTCTGCTGATATGAATATTTTATCAAAGCATTCTTCTTCATTTTTACGCCAAAACGCCATGTATCTAAATTGGAGCATAGTTTCTGATCATTAAGAGAAAGAGGAAATCGAATTTTTTCTTCAATAAAATGCATACATTTGGCGAGAGTTTTAAAAAAAAGCAAAATATTTTTTTCCTGAAGCGTAACTGTAACTGAACTAGTAAAATCAATATGATAAATATGATTTTTTTTCTTTATACTCAAGGAATAACTCATTTGCCATTTCAACTTTTTTTTTCTTTGGGGCTCTTTTTATTTTGTTCATTCAAATATTTTCAGTTTTGCAGATAATCAATGAGCGTTATCACTCCTTTGGCGTGTTCCTTAATGACTTTCATTGAAATGTTCTTTTTTTGGCGAAAAATGAAGATATTCACTGGGACTCATTCTATGTCATTTTCCAGGACACGATAGAGCTACTAAAATCGTTGGAAATATGTAGTTTTAGGGCTGTTGCCGAATTTATTGATCGCCAACATAAAGTGTAATAGTAAACTCTATTCATATGGGAGAACAAAAGTCTTTTGAACAAAGTAACAATGTTCCTACGCTTTAACAAAGGCATTCAATTAGCGTCCATAATAATAACTATTTTTAAACGCGATAATGAGCTTTGCTTAGTGAATACCATTAGAAAAATGTTTTGGTTGGAATAGTAAGCAGGATAGTAAAATAGTGGGAGTAATTTTTTAGAATTAACCTTTTAGAAACAAAATAACCTATTAAAAATTTTTCTCAGTGATAAAAAGTACTAATATAAATTTTGCTGCCTCCTGGTAATTACCTAATGGTTTGTTAAGGGGTCTAGAGGGGGTTTTTTTTATCAAAATTTTACAATTTTTGAAACAAACATGATAGTTAATAACCTGCTTTGTTCTAAATAATATTATACCAAATATAAGGGGATATTCCGAAAGTTTTTAAAATTGTAGCAAAAATAGAGACTCGTTGACTGAATACAGAGAATAGCACACCAATTGTCTCAACTGTAATCGCCTGTTATTTTACTTACTTTGTTTGAAGTTACTTATACGAAATTTTGTCTTTAAATTAATTTTTTTGAATTTACATTTTTTTACCTGCAATGCAGGATTACTCGACTTCTATGTAAAACCAAGATAATTAAGTTGAAACTCAGTAATCGGTTGGAGTATCACATATTGCTTAAAATCATACCAGATAATATAGGTAGATATTTTATACTTATTTTGGTCAAAAAAATCATTATTATATAAAAATCTGAAAAACAATTTTTTTTAATTTAAAAAAATACTTTTTTTTTTCAATTTTGTTTGAGCTAGTATGGTTTTAAAAGCTGTATATTTAACTGCCTATTAAAAATTATTTCACGTCATTAAAAGGATTTTAATGACTTTTATCATGTATCCAAGACATCATTGTATCTTTTATTTTCCTTAAATTGTAACTTTAAATTAACTTTAACTTTAAATTAAAATATAACAGGTTTTTGTGATAGTTCACGAAAGTGTTGACATTTAAGTAATTTCTATGCTTATGCTAAACTCTTGAAAAAAATTCAGAATCCAAGTTAAATTTTAAATAAGTTATAGAAAGTAAAATAAAAATTGTACACTTACGCTTTCTCGGTGAAATCAAAATCATCAAGATCCCTTATTTGAGTTGACTGTAACTTTAAAGTCTATTCAAAGTTAACGAGAGAGAAAAATTTTTTGCAATGATATATTTCTTATATACTTTATCATAACATACAGCAGGAAATACAGAAAAAATATACTGCTAACATATACAGTATCTACATCAAAAACGTGTTATTAAGGTTATTCTTTTTTTGAGAATTTTTATTTGAGGATCGTTTCAAACATAATAAAAAGCCAGTCATTTTATTTACTTTTTCTTTAAATTTTATTACCTTATAGACTATTATTATGAAAGAATTAATTTCAATATTATAGAGTTTCCAAAAAGGATAGGATATACTTTGGGCAATGTAAATTAAAGCAAAAGAAAACAACGTGAATAAAGTACAAATTAAAGTATAGAAATGGACATACTATAGTTTCGGTTCTATAAACAAAAGCCTTCCTCAATCTCTAAACGTCAAATGGTAATAGAGAAGTAAAGAGACTAACACGTGAGTAGTGGTTCAACCAGTGGTTTAACCAGGGCAGAGAAACAAGTTTGAACTAATTGATGAAAGAAAGAGGGATGATAAACAGGTGTGAGGGGAGTTGACGGGGACCCCAGGGTGCTACAGATTAAATTAAATTGAATGTCGAAATGTTGGAAAACGGTGGTATATTAAAAAGATCATTAACTAAACTGCAGTACTGGAAAAATCATTAACTAAATCCTAATAATTTCTTGTTTGCAGAACTTGAACTCTAGTATGTTCATCTCTATACTTTCAATTGTGCTTTGTTCAAGTTTTTTTTCTTTTTTTTTACTTTAGTTTATTATAAAGTGTAATTGAAAATTTTCAACCCGATATCCCCACAAATTATACTCCCGA